GGTAACAATGGACGGGGAGAAAGCTGAGGTACTCAACAACTCTTTTTGCCTCAGTTTTCACTGGCAACCTCTCTTCCCACACCTCTCAAGTGGAAAGACTGAAAGGTAGGGACTGAGGGAGCAAACTCCCTCCCACTGTAAGAGAAGATTAGGTTCACGACCACTTGAGGAACCTGAATATACATAAATCTTTGAGATCTGATGAGATGCATCCCAGAGTCCTAAGGGAATTGGCTGATGTAGTTGCCAAGACACTCTCCATAAGATTTGAAAAGTCATGGCAGTCAGGTGAAGTCCCTGGTGACTGGAAAAATGGAAACATTGCACCCATTCTTAAAAAGGGTAGAAAGAAGGACTGGGAACTACCAACCTGACAGCCTCACCTCTGTGCCTGGGAAGATCGCGGAACACATCCTTCTAGAAGCCATGCTAAGGCACATGGAGAGTAGAGAGGTGATATGAGAAACCCAACACGGCTTCACCAAGAGCAAGTCCTGCCAGACCAACCTCGTGGCCTTCTATGAGGGAGTGACTACATCAGGGGACAAGGGAAGAGCTACAGATGTTGTCTATCTGGACTTCTGTAAGGCCTCTGACATGGCCTCCACAACATCCTTCTCTAAGTTGGAAAGATGCGGATTTGATGGGTGGACCGTTTGGTAGATGTCAGGAATTGGGTGGATCGTTGCATAGTGGTCAGCTGCTCAATGTCTAGACAGAGATCAGTGAAGAGTGGTGTCCTTCAGGGGTCCGCACTGGGACCAGTACTATTTAATATCTTCATCAATGACATAGGGGGATTGAGTGCACCCTCAGAAAGTTTGCAGATGACACCAAGCTGAGCAGTACAGTTGACGTGCCTGGGGGACGGGATGCCATCCAGAGGGACCTTAACAAGCTCAAGAAGTGGGCCCATGTGAACCTCATGAAGTTCAGCAAGGCTAAGTGAAAAGTGTTGCACATGGGCTGGGACAATTCCTGACATCAATACAGGCTGGGGGATGAAAGGATTGAGAGCAGTCCTGAGGAGAAGGACTTGAGGGCACCAGTGGGTGGAAAGCTGGGTATGAGCCAGCAATGTGCACTTGCAGCCCAGAAAGCCAATCCTATCCTGGGCTGCACCAAAAGAAGCGTGGCCAGCAGGCTGAAGGCTGGTGATTCTGCCCCTCTGCTCTGCTCTCGTGAGACCCCATCTGGAGAGCTGCATTCAGCCATGGGGCCCTCAACACGGAGCTGTTGGAGTGGGTCGAGAGGAGGGCCATGAAGATGCTCCGAGGGCTGGAGCACCTCTTCTATAAATACAGGCTGAGACAATTGGGTTTGTTCAGCCTGGAGAAGAGAAAACTCTGGGGAGACCTTCTAGCAGCCTTCCAGTACCTAAAAGGGGGCTAGAAGAAAGATGGGGTCAAACTTTTTAGCAGGGCCTGTTGTGATAAGCCAAGGGGGTAATGGTTTTAAACTAAAAGAGGGTAGATTTAGACTAGATAATTCTTGTAATTCTCTTAAGAAACAAAAAACATGGAATGAAATCTCCTTGGCATACAGTGAGTGGCCTCCTTCTACTGTATACACTATTTCACAGAATGCTGCATACTCTTCTTTTCATGGCTGCATGTCAAAGCAGAAATTGGAGATCTTTTCTATGCTTGAAATCTTTCCAGCTAAAATTACAAAGGCCTTCCAACAGGCATTGACTGAAATTCATTTTTTTTGGTATGAAGCAGCATTCCCTTCTGAGACTGAAGCACCAGTTGCTTTCGGTATAATGTACACGATGTAGTGAAACACCATCTTGCTGTTACCAGGTCAGGCACACAAATGATACTCTTAGCTTTATTTCTGTACGCTACAACTAGATGTGAGTGTTGTTAGGAGTATTTGGTGGGTGCTTAATTAGAACAGTGCGCGTAGCTAAAGGAGGAATCAACAGCGCCGATCAGAAAGAGCTTAAACTCTGCTTTCTCTGTGCCGCTGCATGTCAGCCCCAAACGAAGCAGGGGACTGATGCAATCAGGCCAGATTTCCTAAGTACTTCTGAAAAACATCTCTGCATCACTTTGGCTCAAAGTATAGTAGACAAATGAAAACATTATGCAGGAAGAAATATCAAAATGCTACACTATCGCTTACGAAAATAGGGTTTTGCACATGAGACTATTAACTCAAAAGTGCATTCCCCCTAATTGTGCATAGATAGAGGGATACTGGCAACAGGTGAGGAAACAACAGCAGCTGATGAAGGGAGGGAGTTGGAAAGCCCTTCTAACTTTTTCATGTCTTTTGACTATCTCAGACTGGCACCTCTGAACATCAACAAACCTCTCCTGCCCTTTCAGAGCTGTGTTTCATTAGTGCAGTCTTAGTGCCACCAGACTGGGGATAAAAAGGAAAAACAGTTGCACAGAAGATCAGAGCTGGCTGCTGCCAAATCACAGCAAAGTTCGGCAACACCGAAATGCGTAACCAGGGAAGAAATTCTTGGAGCTTTATACTAAACTCACAGTTTTGTTCTTGCATGAAGCTAGCTAGAGAAGAGGAAATTTAATGTCTTGCAGGAAAGTAGGTATGGAGTTTAAGCTGGGACAGAAGAAAAAAGGCACCAGTCTGGAGCCAAATCAGAAAGTTTAATAAAGTTTTCCAATACATGAAGTAGAAGGAAAGCAGTTTGAAAACCACCTACTGCTGCACCTGGCAGGTGCATTAAAACTCCATTACGTTCATTCTACAAAGGGAAACACAGTCCCTGGTGACTGGCATACTGGACTGTTTTTGCCTCTAGCTTTGTACACAGAAATCAGTTCAAGTATGGAAATGAACCTAAGTACGGGAAAGCGAGCCAATACTGTCAGCAAGAGAACAAATGATGCAGCAGTGGCAATAATACAACTTTTTCCAGAGAAAAGACATCTGTGAAAAAATGCCGACTCCTGTTTCAGTAAAGGTAAGTTAGACTCCAGGAAGACTGTGCGAACTTCCCAGCTCTCAATTACATATTGACGCACTTGTAAAGTTCCAGAAACACTTTATTTAAAAATGGAGTTGTAAATGCATATAACAAAATAACATACATAATAAATGTAACAAAAATAAATAAGGAGAACATGTTCATACAAAATAAGAACATATTAATGCAAAATGCTTATTACAGAACATAAAGGTATAAACGCCTGAAAGAACACAAACAGAATCTCACATGAAGAGCCTGCACCTTAAATCCTTCCTAGCCGTTTCCTACTTTCCACTGGACTCTGCGGAAAAATAATATTCCCAAGCATTAAACAAAAGAAGGAATTATGGTGATGGTTTGGTACACTAAGTTTTCAACACCTAGCTCTAGTTTCGATTTGTTTTTGCCCTTCTGCACCTTCTAAAACTTTTCTTGTAGCCTCTGTAAACTCATGTAGTTCAGGCTTCCACAGTTAGCTGGAGTAGAGCATATTGAGTCATACATGAAGGCTTTTAATTTTTTTAAAGAAAATATGAAATCCATTATACAACAGATTAGTGGTTTTGTTTTTACATCTCTACAAAAAAAGTTTTTGCATTTTTATTAACTGGTCCAACTTTTACTGACTTCTGAAAGCCTGTACAATTTAAAAGTGTACAGAAAGTTTTTTTAAACAAATGTTATATAGGATTATTGCTGAAATATTAAAGACCATTTCATAAAAGCTGCAAAACTGTATCTTTAACCTTAATATATAGAGACTGATGCAAACATAGGAAAATTCCAGTCTATTAGTTACATTTAACAGAAATAACATTCCTCCAAATTACAGTGTTCTGGAAATACAAAGTAATTTACTTTTATTTTTATTATTATTTCCAAATGTTAAGTTACTGGGACAGCTTATAAGGACAATAGGCTTATATAGGAAACTTTAAACATTAGAGTTGCTTTTCAGTGGTATGAGCAAAATGTCTATGTTAGCACTCGTCTTCCAGAATCCTTTTAAATATGTAAGACAGAGACAGCTTTACTAGCAAGACTACAGGAAAATATACATAAGCAAATGAAATCATTTGCTTGGGAGTGCATCTATCCATCAAGCAAATTATGACAACTCTATTTCCAAGTTCCCTAAAGAAAATTTTACATCTCATGATCATTCCAAGGAACAGTAACTTCTTCCGTAAGCTTTTGTTTCATTTGAGCTGGTGAGAGCCCACCATTTGCCTCAATATGCCTTAAAACGTCCCATGTTGCTGTATGTTTAAATTTGTTTCAACAAACATTTGGACAGAAATGAGATATGAAATACTTCTACTTTCATTAACATCAAAAAGACATTTGAAGAAGATCAAAAAGTGCCAAATAGTTGTTTCAGAAAGTGGATTAAAACACTGCAATGATAATACAAGTGCAGTATTATCAGTTTTGTATGTACACCAAAACACTGCTTGCTGTTTAATGATATCGATATGTTCACCTACCACTCCCAGCAAATTTTAGTGCAAACATAATATGTGAACTTTGTAAACCCCAAGACAATTTACGCAGCAACAAGGTTATATAAATCACAGAACTGTTTGAGATTTGCAGTACACAAGAATGAATGCTTTCTGAAATTTGTCTTACCTTGTGCAGTAATGTGTCATTGTAGTCAAAGATAATGTTTCCTATATAAATCATCTAATTCAGAATCAAATGTAACCGTTCAACAGTTCTGTACAAACTTTAGTGGAGGAAGTCCATTCATTAGAGCAGCTTGGCAAAGAGATTTGGGGTTTCAGTAACATTAAATGTTAGACTGCTTGCATGGCTTTTTAAACAGAAAAAAATCTATTAAGGGAAAACTGCTGATATAATAATTCTTTTGCAAAGCACACAACCACAAAGGGCAAACCTGCCACAATCTGCTTTCCTACACTTGTATCTATGCATATCTTTATGATTTGAAAAGGATTTGTGTGACAATCAAAGCATCACAGTTAAAGAAAACTGGTTTAATAAAACAACTGCTGTTTGACCAAGCCTTTTTTGTGTGTTTTTTTTTTTAAATTATAAAATCAATATTATAATTTTCCTTTATTCCTAAACATTCCACATGAAAGGTATTTGTATCAACACTGAGATGTCACTCACGAAGAGTGGCATCTTCCTCTTCCCCATCTGGGTTAAACCTGTTGAAATGTATGCTGAAATCTGACTCGGATTCAGCATTCTCAAATTCAGCTGCAACAGGGACGGCGGCAGGTCGAAGAGCCCGAGCTTCGGGCTGGCAGTTTGGCTGCACTTGAGGGCGGGTACTTTGGGAAACGGGACTGGCCTTCACCTTCGGCTGAGCTGGTAGGACGGGGCTGGCGAATCCCAAGTTGCTCAGAGCATCCAGGGTACCATCAGGGTCGATCATGGCATTAATTGCTAAGCAATCAAGAAAAGATGAAAGGAATAGGGAAGAAACCATAAAAAAATACAGTTTTCTGTTACCATAAAACCCACCAAAATCCTACTCTAACACTTTTATGGTGACAGACATGAGCTCTTATGTGTGTTGCCCACTACAAAGGAGTAGTGTATTCAACATATATGCAGCTGATACATACATTTAAAAGCATTTACATATATTAAAACTTCAGATGAAACGAAACTGCACAAACAAAACACTGCCTGATGTGTGGACAGAAAAGAGAGATGACAAACCATCTATGATTAGCTTATAGGGACTGAAAGATGTGATTTTTAGTCATGTTGAAGGGACTTTCTCTCTACTATCACCATTATATTATGCTTCAATTACCACCCCCTCCCAAATACCCATAGCTGCTAATTCCATGACTGAATGAAATTTTTGTAAAAGAGCAATCAATTACCCTCTTTAATACAGAACGAAGGACTTATTGTCCTTCTCCCTCTGCAGAGTGAGGGCAAATTGAAGCACCTAGTACAATTTCATTTTACTGTACTATTAACACATTGTCACATTTAACAGAACCTCTCTCTCTTATTTCCAAAACTGTGCGAACATCTATTCAGACATCACTGCGTACACAAGGAAATGACTTGGCCTCTTTCTCTAGGCCTTATTTCTTTGTTATGTTCTCTAAACACAATATAATTAGTAATAAATTAACATTTTTTAATTATAGCTGAGCATGCAACAAATACTAATTTGTCTGTAAAGGCAGCTAATGATTCCTCCTGAAACATTCCTTGTGAAAGCATGTTTTATTGTAGGATTAAAGCTGAATACTAAAAATAACATATAGGATATTTACAACAAATACAACAATGATTATATATAAGCATGGACCACTAATCTATTTGACCACTCCAAATTAAACAAAACAGAAATAAGATTGCAACTTCTTTTAAAAATATACTCATTTTTTAAGTTGATTTTGATAAATGGAATATTTGTCTCAATAGCAGACTTTGTAAACACAACAGATGTCTTTCCATATTATACACAGATAAGTCTTAGAATGTGAAAAGCGAATAAACTTTGATTTTGTAGTCTGTGAGCTCCAAAGTTGCAAAGAGTGGATTCAGTAGTGTGAAGGGAAGATGTCAAGAGCTACCCCTAAGTTTTTGTTCTATTGTAACAGATAAAGTTGAGGGTTTTTTTTGAGATTTCCTGTAGATTATGGTCCCAGTGCACTCCTTATACTGAATTGTGTTACACGTGAAGGTATTACTGATGTGCAAAGACTATTTTGTAAAGCCTCATGTCAGGATTCTCCATCATCTACACTTCAATATTTAGCCACAAAAATATCTCTATTAAGAATGTTTCACAAATAATTCCTTTGGGATTCTCCAGACTATTTCATTTTCAGTTGAGCATTTTTTCACCCTTACAAAAACCTATCATCACTCTCCTGTTTTAAAATAATTCAGTGATGTTTCTTCACCAAATGTGCCAGCAATTATATGATATTAAGGTATGTAACTGATACTGCGAATATATTTTAATAAAATGTGATAACTTTGTTTCATGATACACATATAGAGAGATATACATTAAAAAAAATAAAGCAAGCAACAACAAAAGAGAAAAGTGAAAAAAGATTTGTACCTTGCAGCTGTTTCTCAACTCGTTTCAGTTCCTGTAAGATTGATGATATTTCCTAGGAAAGAAACAAATATGTCTCATTAAGGAAAAAGAGACTTAAACTACCTATCAGTAGCAAACAATCTCCCTCCCCAGTCTTTGCAATATGAATTTTGAGTTGTCTCTCCTGGCATCAAGAACACCCTTGCTGGTAGTGGCCCAGCCATGTCTACCATGGGTCCTGGGTGCAAGTGCTTGAGGCTGGACGGTGGTGGCCCATTCAGAAACCAAGAACTCCTCCACATTGACTGATTGCTAGGGTCAACAAAACCTCACTCTGTCCCTTGCCATCTGCCTGCGCTACTTCTTCTCAAGCACGAACTTATAGATACCATGCTTCTGTAGAAATGGGGCAAAGTAACAGCAAACCTTTAAAGGAAAGTCACAGTATAATCCCACTATTAATGGAATAGGGTGATTAATAACCTTGTTCAGATGTGAGTCAGAATACCAAGATGACTGCATTGGGATTTTGCCTGCAAACATTGGGCCCTGTGCCCACAAGACCCTATACAGCAGCACACCAATGTTGAGTCCTCAACACTCATTTGCCTTACAGGTTTTTTCTTTCTGCTGCACTACTTCCTAACACAGATATAGCCAGAGCAATGCACTCAGAAACACAACAATCACTAAATGTACCACATCTTAAATTATAAATATGTAAATCCTACAACTGAAGGATCCTACACTGAAGAACACTGTTAATCCAACTGCTGAGGAGAGCTATCAGTGGTCTTCAAAAGCTGAGAACTTTCAAAGGCACCGATTTCAGAAACCCATTTAACCCATTTCAAAACCCCATTCTGTACTAAGTAATGTGATTTTTGTGGGTGGCAAAGAAATTGATTACTTTGGATTTTATAAAGTCATTATCTTTAAGCAGATTCCACATCTGAGCTAGACATAAATGTCCCAAGGACAAAACGAACATCAGTTACAATTGTCCTCTGTTAACTTTTCACAGCCTGGTGTAGTGGAGGGTTTCCCTGCCCATGGCAGGGGGGTTGGAACTAGATGATCTTTGAGGTCCCTTCCAACCCTAACCATTCCATGATTCTGTGGTAAAAACAAGCACTGCATTTGAACAATATATGGCTTTGAAAATTGAGCAGAAACTTGAAAATCAGTGCATAGAAAAAAAACCCATACACTTTCAAACAATTCAAGATGCTTTAATGCATTGACAAAAAATTTGGAAAATGCTCAACTTAGGAACAAATATACCACTAATCTTTTTCTTTTTTAATGAATGCCTTAAAATCCCATATCCATGGCATGTAGAATATAAAACACTAAACTCCAATCTTACTCTGGAGATGGATAGAATAAGGGAAACTCTTATATTACCATATTTCTAAAATTAGAAACTTTCATGACTAACTTGGCTTAATTAAACTTCAAAAACACCCCAAAACTGTCAGTGTATCTAATAAATTATAACACTGAGTTACTAGTGATTGCTCTTAAAAAACATATCATTCTGCAGAAATTACAGGCCAAGTTTTTAATACTTCCAGGAAAAATCAAACCGGATGAGTTTAATAACTTATGATGAGCTAACAGAGAAGTGCTAGCCAGTTCAATGCCAGAGGAAACGTGTTCATGTTTTGTAGTTCAGTTCAGTACCAAGTAAGCGAGGAGTTTCCTCTCCCACCTTTCCCTCAGAAAATAAAACGGTCTCTGTAAGTTGACATTCTTAACAGCACGATACTCCAGATGAGATAATATAGCTAGACTCTCTGCCTGCTCTCACATGCAGAGATGCTTTTCAAACCCTAAATTCTGTGTTTAGAAGCAGAGAAGTGTCCTAGGAAACAACATGTGCGCTCTGTTCCCTTACACTGTCGCACAGTCTTGTCGTGAAATGGTCCTAATTAGGCAGGAGTAGAAGACTACCTGAATCAACAAGAGTTGTAGTTGGTACCCTATGGTTATCCCTTCCACACAAAATCAACATGATTATTTTTCATTGAAGAGTGCTAATAGTAGGTAAAGTAGTCTTTACATTGTAAAACAAGTTCATCTGCAAGAAATCCAACATTCAAACTAATGGTTGTTACCTTTTGTTAAAAGTACTGATGGTCTGTATATAGTCTGAACCCCTTTTATGCATTCTTTATCTGAGAATTTCCCCTGAAGAACTACTTAAGACTGTTTCCTTTTAAGATAGTTAAGTCTCAGTAATTATTAAATAAGATTAGGTTTATTCTTGAAGTATACTGTGTCTAAACAACACCTTTTAAAGATTTTTGCCTTTATATCATTGAAAATAACAGATTCTTCTTCTGATTATTTAAAAATTAGGTAAGAGACTCATTCAATCCCAGAAAAGATAACTATTCATACCATGCTTGATGTTTTCACAATAGGAATTTCACTTTCAGCTCGTAACTTGCTTTCAATTTCTTCCCAATTTCTGTCTTTGTCCTTAAATAATATCCTAGAAGAAAGAAATTCAAGAACAGTATGTTTAAAATAGACAAAACCAAAAAAACTAACATTGAAAGATTAGATACTCAATACAAGAAAGCAGTACAGGGAGCACTGAACAAAACTAAAATCTGAAATAGTGAAAACTAACAGAATCCAACCATACAGTTTAAATTTTCTGGGAAGCACACAGGGTTTCAGCAATATTGTTATTATTGACATTAAAATGGCAGTTCTGTAACTAAATACTTGCTTATGGTGTTGAAAAGACACAGCTGATGAGACAGCACGGAGACATTTTTCTAAAAATCTAATTATTTTATAGTAGTCAGAGACTTCCCTATTACCACTGCATTTTACAACAATTACAAAACAGAAGAAAAAGATTAACAATGGTAAATAAATGCAACTCTTTCACCTTTGTATTTTATATTAATTTAATAAAAATAAACCATTTCAGAAAATTCAAAGAAAAACACATTTCATAGAAGTTTTCGTTGAAAAGTCTCAACACACAGACTGTATATACATGCTTTAGTAATATAAGTATCACTTGTATGTTTAAAGAAGTCACTTCTATTATTTGTAAAACTTCGAAGCATGCTGTAAGACTCCTCATTTTTAATGTTTTGCTTCTCGGCTGTGATAATTTTTGTTTTCATTGTCACATCATAAACATCATTTAAACTGTCTACATTTGCACAACGGAAGAGAAAAAAAAAAAGGAACGTGCAGATATTTAAGGTCTGGGTATTCAATTTTTTTTTTCAAGTGACACCATGATGATATAGAGGAGTCCAAACACACTTCTTCTCTCATTGGTATTTCAGATTTAAAAGTAGAAAAATAACTGCAGTAAAACTGCTAAGAAAACAAACAAACCAATTCAAAATCAAGACTGAAAAGTAGTACATTTTAAAGCAGTTATTAGTGTAGGTAGGTCTCTGAGGAAATAATTTCCAAGGTGGAAATCCATGATACCTTGCATCTCATGAAGACTACGAATTTGAAAGAAAGCTGGGAGACTTTGTACTGCATTTTCTGTAAATCCATCTTCAGTTATTTATACCCTATGGAAAATCCCACTCTTTATTATTATCCTGTCAAGAAAGTCTAGTTTTTCCAAACGTGTATCCTGTATTATCTTATCAGTACATAGATGTCCATAAACAGCCCATCCAGAAGCTGCTTTAACTCTTCTTCTGTCTTTGAGGTCTTCACTCACTGCTGCTGCAGAACACATTTTTGTCAGCTGTTTCACAGAGAGGAAGGGCTACTCTCCCTACTCTACACAACGTCATGGGATCAAGGCAAATGACCACTTCTGCAAGTGACTTTAGTGAACTAATATACAAAGCAAACAAACAGTAAACATTAATACGTGCTTCTTGGGGAAGGAAAATATAAATTAAAAGTAATCGAAACTACAGTGACGAAAACATGAAACACTTTATGGCCTCAAGTAGTGCCATCATCTTGTAACAAAGTTGATCAGAGATCTGACAAGATTTCTTTTGTTCTGGAAGGGAGTGCAAAAGCATGCCAAGCCATACAACTGCAAACCTGGATAAAGTCCAATCATAATGGAAAATTTAGAACTTGCCTGACACTGATGAGTTTAAATAAATAAAAAGCAGAGCCAATTAAATCCTTTATAGGATCTTACACTAAAAAACAGGCAACTCCTGGAAATATTTTGATTCAGTATACAGAGAATCTTACACAGCTATACTTTCCGTACATTAATAGAATTTAGATCACTCTGGAAATCAGCAGGAACATAGAAAATAAGGCTTTATTTAGCAGTAGATAGCACTAGAAGGAAAAAAAAAATCAATAAGTTATTGTGACACTGCTTGTTGTTTTTTTTTTAATTATTTTCTTGCTCATGTTATATTAAAATACTTCTGTCTTTATGTATGTGATTAATGCTTTTGCTTGTGTATGTGGTGTTCTCGGTCTTATTTTCTTTTAGATGTAATGTTCTTACTTCTCTTTTACAATTTGAAAGCTTTCCATTTCATAGGTCATTTTATTTAAAAAAAAAAAAAGGAGGAAAAAAGAAAACACTAATTTAAGAAATATCATTATTTCCACTATAAAGTGGACAAGCCAATTTGGTTTTGCTATAAATTTAGGAAGTCTATTTCCTGTTTACAACATTTTTTTCAATTCTTTATTTAGTACATTTTAACCTCCCAGGGGGTCTTCACCTCTGTCTCCTTTGCTCTTCCTGCTTCTAACCATACTTTTTATATTAGAAGAACATATTTATAAATGTCTGCCGCTTTCTGCTCTTGCCTTTCCCAGTCCCACTTTCTGGGACAATTCTGCCTGAACTTTCTTATTTGATTGTGCTCAGTCCCCATTTTTCCTTTATTGCACTTCACAGGATGCACGACGAACTGCAGAGACTGACAAGTAATACCTGCGCTGAGCTGAATGCTTTGCCTAGACTTTGCCTGACTGAAGAGAACTTGCCTGCTACAAAGCAAGCCAATAAACACTGCATTGACATTGTAGAGCACTGATAAAACCATGTAGGTCTTCTCACTGCAAAACCTACTTACCTCTTCCCTCCATAATCTCTGAAAATCCCTGCAAACTCATTGTAACACATAAAAGACAGAAAAGCAAACAAACTGCCTATCTGCTTCCTGAGTAGCCACCACAATAATTTGTTAGCAAAGAATGGGTTATAGCACATATGGCTAGAATGCTGCAGAATTTTTACGTATAATGTAGTTTTGTGTACACCAGCAGATAAGAACATGATTAAACAGAGTAATTAATAAAAAGAAATGATTAAAAAGTAACTTAGCAATACCCAAACTACGACCTTATCCTGAAGAAAATTATAAATATATAGAGGATGTAGCGAGAGGAAAGAACCAGGCACCTGATTCTAGCTCTATCTGAACACCATGCTAGGACTTGGGGAAAAAAAACCCAGAACAGTTTGGCCTGCATTGGGAGAAGCTAGCTGAAGAATACAGTGTCAAAAGCTTCTCTCGATCCTATTTTTTAACACAAGGTAGGAATGATGACAGAACTGAGTGGAACTCAGAACATTATCTATAAATTAGAAAACAGAAATGACAGCTTTAATGAAGTGAGGAATTAACTAGTCAAGCAAAAAGATATATATTTCCTTTTACCCTCATATTAATTTACTTTCATGATCTTTTCAGCTCATTTTAATTTCTGATAGATCTGCTTGTCAAGAATGACTAAAAATATTAAATTCTTCATACTTTAGCCAAAGTGAAGCTGGTCTTTTTGCAAGGCCAGCTATTGCAACTGAAACATAACAGAAAGAAGAGTGTTCACATTTACAGGAAGGATGCCCTTCTTCATTTGGACTCAAGATAGGAAGGATGCAATTTTTTAATATGTGTGATGCAATTTGTAAGGACCATAATTGCTCTATACTGTCTGTGCTCTTGGAAGAGAGGTTTACATTGGTGAACAAGAGAATTTGAGAGACAACTTTTAAAACACAGTCAGGCTTACTCTTATTGATGCCTCTATAAATTTCTCCTCTACTTTCAGGTTCAAGTACTTTGGAAAAATCAGAGAACTGCTGGCTTGACAAATCCTGACTGATCTCATTGTATCTGTTCTGGGCAGAAATTTTAACTGGCTTAACTCCAGTGAAAGGAGAAGCAGCACACAAGCTGGTTGAACTCATGTACATCAAACAAAGCTAAAGTAAAATCCACAATAGGTCCCAGCTGCCTTTCATGCTTTCTAAAAACAATTCTAAAACTATTGTTGTTTTTCTGATTTAAAATACTAGTAACATTATGAATAACATCATATTATTCAAATCCATTCTGAGCAGCAGGAAAAGGAATTTTTGATTGCACCTCTAGGGAATATTTGCTTATAGGGAAATAATTAGCTCTTCTGTGTTTTTATAGAAATATGCAATGTCATTCTCTTTAAATGTATATAGAATGTTTATAGGTATGCTTATATTTATAACATAATACATTATAACATCATTATAATATTCATTACAATGTAGCTGACTTACCTTTTAAGCTAAGAAAATTAATCAGAAAAATGTAAGACTACATTTTATAATTACCTGCTTTTCTCAGAATGAATTTGCATACATAAATTTGTTTTAACTCACTGTACTCACTCAGTTTTTTATGTTAAGTAAACTACAGCTATGCTAGCAACATATTTACAGATCAGAAACTGCCAACCATCAAGAAAAATCAGCACGATGAAAAAAGTAGAGTATCTACTATCTACTGCTTCTGAGGAATTTAAGATACATATCATCCTAGACGCCTACCACAAATAAGTCAGTCAATAAGCAAGATTCTTGTTCCAATGATGCAGCTTTAAAAGGAAAAAAAAAAATACATTGGTAAGCAGAGTTCCATATGGATGTCACTGTATTTTCCCACAGAATTATGTGCAAAACAAAGCTTGATGTAATATTTTGTTTCTATTTTCAAATTTCGAACGCCTTTGAAAATGACTTTCAAAGAATGGTCATGCTTAAGTACCTCTTTGCACGTATTTATTTGTTCGGTTTTTTGAGATCACCTATCAAAGGAAATGATAGCGTGCACTCAAAGGCTGATTAAACTTGAACAAGTTGTGAACTTTTGTGTAACCTGGAATAAATTTTGCATAATTAAATTGAACTCTGTTAATTTGGCACAGCTTTTTTAGAGTAACCGTATTGTACACCTGCATTTCACAAACTCATTTATGTCTTTTGCTTAAGGATATTCAAATAAATAGTATGATACATAGAAGAATGCATTCTGGGAAAACCAAAGAGGAAAAGGCAGCAAATGGCATATTTCCAATATTATAATGCTGCAGCCCCAAAACTCTGAGTTGGAAAAAGAAATGAGATGAATCAGTCCAGGATCATATTCCAAGATAGTGGAAATACGGTATTCACAAATGTTACCTGTAAACACCAGGAAAATAAAAAAAAAAATCACAAAAAACCTTGGAACAGAAATAGTAAGAACGGGCTGCAGGCTTTTAAAGACTTGATTCTTCACTCTTACTACTAGAAACAGCAGGACTAGAAATTGCAGATAACCTATAGCGTTTACCAATTTATAAATATTATTTTTTTACTTCTTGATTTCTATGGTCAAGTCTTTCTTGGTACTCCCACGAGAATATAACCTTCAGACAAGTTAGCATCTTGCTGCTTTTACTAGTTACATCCCCTATGCTGAAATAAATTTGTGATTTGGTGATTAATCTGTCACCCATCTAAGATTTCAATATGTGACACTTCATAGATAAACTGATAAATTACAATATCTTCTCACATTCAGAAAATCATACATGAAGGTCAGCCAAATGACTTTCTTATTTTTAATGTACTCTATTCTTCAATTATTAACTGCACAAAGACATGAAGAAGGACATGTGAATTTTGTATTTAGAACTTTCGTTTATTCTTGTCAACCAAAGCGGTCACCAAATGGTTGTACACTCACTCACTCAAGTTAAATGGAGCTGTTGGTAGAGCAACATGTTATCATTTTTGACACATCTATACTTCCTGTTAGCTACTATGACATTTTATGCAGGAATCTAACTATCTAAGCAGGAATTTTCAATTAAAAATAACAGATAGTTACATCTGTTATTTGAGATTTAGAACTCAATAGTGGCCACATTGCCCCCCGAGCAAATTCTTTTTCAGAAGGATTTACTGAAACTGCTCTCCTCTGTACCATTTGTTTTTCTTCCTAAAATGAGTGATCCCTACAACAACCTGGCAAACATACAGGGCCCAGTTTTACAGTTCAGCAACGTTTTAACCTTATCTTTTAAGGAAGGGAGTTTTATAAGACTTGCATAGAGGTTGTGTAGACTTTGCTCAGCATTTACATGCGTTGGATCAGCTCCTCTGCTGGGAGTAGGATGGCTATTGTTTGGTCCATATAAACTTTGCTGATATTTATCTTCATATAACGTGAAATACAAACAAGCATTAATGCAAAAATTGTTCATCTTAAATCTTTCTGAATGCTAAAAAGGCCATAGGTAACATTGCTTTTTAAAACACACGTTGCTACCAAATACATTTCCTCTACCTGTATTTTCCTGTACCTGTTTAGTAGGAACGTTGATGAGAGCAGAACGTTTTCAGTAATAATAATGATTTTAAAAAACCCACCTGATTTTGCCAGCTGTTTTGTCTATGGATTGTCTTATCTTGCGAGAAAATTGGAAGACTGAGGATAACAGCAAACTGTCCCCCATAACCTGCAATAAATTTTTAATCAAACAGGATATTATTATTTTAATGAGAATTAATACAAACAATTTCATATATTTTGAAAACTTTTTAACTTTTAAAAAAAAAAAAGTGTTTTCTAATTAGTATCATACACAATTGTATTTGAACATTTTGCAAACTAAATAATACAGAAGTATTTTTTTTTCCAGTAATAATGCCACCTGCTACAGGTAGGAAAAAAAGGATGGTGTCTAAAATATTAAGTGGGGAGACAACTGTAAAAGCTTAAAATAGACACAGTATTAGAGAGAACCCTGTTGTGTACTCACTTCATCTCTGCTCCAAGTCCTTCTCCGGGTAATTGTTGGGGGATCAAGGGCATCTGTCAGCTGAGGTCTAGCATCGTTAGGCCGACCATTCCCCTCTGGTGGTTTAGTATGCACTACTGGAGGGATTTTTCTAAAATTGAGACTTTCATCAAATACTCGGTCAACCAACTGGGAGGTAAAAAAAAAAAAATGCAGTTTATGAAACCTACTGGATACATGCAAGATCAGATTAATATTTTTTTCCTTCTGAAACAGTTTACAAGAAGCCTATCAAATAAAAATCATTCTGTTGTCTTGCACAGTATAAAATGATGCACCACTTATGTAACAATACCTTGTGAAAATGAAGGGTTTTTTTCAAAGATCAGACATACTTGGCAAAATTAGCCTACCCCACAGAAATTCTGCTTACAGGCAGGTAACATAATAGTTACCTATAAACTGGTATTAAATAATTTATTCCTTTGATTAATGGAATCTATCTATGGAATTAAGTACAGTGCTATCAAATTTAGTTTTTTTCCAGATTGGTCATAGTGTTACAGAAACACCTATACCTACTTAAAGGAGATACTGCCACCTGCAGTAGTATGTACACATGCACATAATAATTATTTAGTAATATAAAAATCAGAGTGATCTAACTGGATCTGAGAAAATAAGTGCTTTACTTCCTAAAAGTTTAGCCGTAGAATGAAAAACAAAACGTACGTGAGTGCAGTTACCATTTTTCTGAGTACACAACTCACAAATTTCTTATCACTGTTTATATCTTTTTTTCCACAAAAAAAGAGTATTATATTAAACACGGTAAGCTAATGCATTAACCAAACTTTATCCACACAAAAATGAATAAACACATTTTGAAAGGAATAGTATGAAGAATAAATGCAGTACACATTTACAACTTATTAGGGTGAATTGTAATATGGTAGGAAGTGATGATTTAAATTCAGATTAACATGTTTACCAGAATTAGACCTGTGATGGTTATTAGAACAAGTTAGTCAATATATTCATAGAATAGCACACCAGATGTAGTCAAAGAGAATAAGAATTATTAGAAGCACAAGGCAAACTTATTTCAAGGCAGTATTTGACAATGTTATTCAGAAAGAAAATCTAAAGTTATTGTTTACTGATGGTACCTAAGTATTTCAGTGTTCAGAAGACAAAACTTTAATGTCACCTGTGAAAAAAGGGACTTTTTTGTTTTTAATAGCTATGCAAAGTATTAGATGTATACATTTATATATATTTGTGCATACACACTAGTGTCTTTAAATGCACTTAGATACTATCCAACAGTATCTAAGGCTAGAGACAAGCAAGAAACAAATAACTATCTTGTCCTATGTTTCATGGAAAAAAAGAGACAGACAGATAGTATGCATCCTTTTGACAAGCTGTGTTCGTAGAATAATTTCTCAGTTATTTGTTGAAATGTAAAGGAACTTTAAATCAAAAAACAATGTAGAGATCATGCATGCGGGTTGAGTGGAAATAACTAAAAAAGGCTATGCAAAATGCTAAAAGCAAAAGAAATAAAGAAAAGGAAGAACCTTATGCATTTCTCCATGAAGATCTCCTACCTCTTCTCTAGTGTCTATGGCAGAGCCAGGGGTGGTGGCAGCAGTGCTTACTGTGGTACTGGGGGCAGTGCCTGATGAAGTCACTGAATCTATCTCTCCTGCTACATCGTTGATTTCCCGTGCGATGAGAGCCAGATCTTGACTGATCCTAGTAACAAAGAGAGTGTTACATTCTCCTCTACAAATACTTCTGGACCAGTAGAGCCCAACCTGCAGCCTGTGAGCTTCTAAGTTTTAATTCCTAATAATCGTGCTATGAAAATGAGTATGCCCTTCTAAACTGAAAGTTTATTTATAGAACCATAAAGCAAATTTTTAACTGAAGCTTTTAATAACATGCCTTTCTAGAGGAAGAAGGTAAAAAGCAATCTCAAAAGACAGAGCATCTTCATTTTCTTTCTAGGATTCCCAGGCAGAGATGTGTGCTGCAACACGCAGTAAATCCAATACGAGTGGATTGCACAGATGATTGGTGTACATGCAGTAAATATGAAATTTTTAGAACGCATTTAATTTATACCTCAGTTTACCTACTTGCCAAGAACTTCAGGACCTCTGATTATCTAGCAACCCTGCAGCTTGTTCAGATCAAGCTGCTTACGTGTCTGAAATTCCAGATCAGTACCCTAAATCCTCTAAATTTAATCAAGATGAGCTTTCTACTTGGAAAACCAGAACATGCCTGTAAAAATCTGGATATGATAGCACTATATAAATACAACTGAATTCTCAGCTGAAGATTCATTTTCCTTTCTTCTGATGCATCACATCAAAAAATAGCTCTGCTCTATATTCCGCGCAGCACAGGGAGGAAGCTTGCCTAGCTCTGCTTGTGCTACTCCTCCCCAAGACACCCCAAAAGACAGAGGGAAAAACAAAAAAAACAAAGCAAAAGCTAAAAGGCTCCTACTAACCATGGCACCCTGAATCTCCAGCTTGGATCAAGCAGTTCAGACGACCTAGAGTTCAGAGCAACCCACCAAGTGATCCCCTTTCATGCTTCTGTCTGAGAGGACTGAAGGCACAGAAGTCAACAGTGTTAACTCTGCACCATCAAGGACTCTGTGAACAGCAGCACCTGTCATTTAAGCGGAAGGAGTTGCAGTGAGAGTTGCAGTGAGAGGGACACACACTGTGCTGGCCAGTGCTTCTTAAAGGTGAGCTGCTTTCTGCTCTTTATTTTCACTTTGTCTTCAAGTCAAAAAGAATGGTCACCACTGACCTAGAGACAGTTTTAAGACTGAGTGAGCAGAATTTAAATTAGAAAGGCAAACATAATTAGAGAAATTTCCAGTCAAATTCCAACACTGGAATTTGTGGCTACCATTAGCAATCCACAATTAAGTGCAATCTTGTGCAGCACAGATACACATATAATCGGGATAAGGCTGTACAAGAATATGTGGCAATTACCTGTGACCACTCAAAACAGGATTTCTGAATTCCAACTAACAAAGACTGGAACACTAAAGCAGAAACCAAGTCAATGGCTCATTTTAATAAATTAAAATATGTTAAGTACCTATTACTACATTAACTAATTTGACCTAATTACTACATCTTTTGGGTCAATTTTAATTTATATTTCATGTTCATATATATATGTACCATTAAAATTCCAAGGTTTGAGCTAATATTCTAAGTAGTAGAGATACTAGAGTACCCACTTCCTTTGTTTCACACCACCATGTAACTTTTTTTCTTAAGCAGAGAAGTTGCTAATAATCATGTTTGAATTTCTGGAACAGATTTTGCTATTTAAATGAATAGTTGTGAATAAAAACCAGGAAATGTCAATTATCAGTAAATCATCCAGAAGACAAATGTGATTAAACACCATAATCAAAAGTAGTATCAATCATCTAAGACTTATCTTTCCATAGAAATCAGCAATGCTTCAAACATGCCACAGCCACTTCAATCGAGTTCTTAACAAGCAATCAAAATTATATAAAATGTCAGATGTTTACATAAAAATGAATTGAAATGAATCCTGAAAATATCATAACACACAACTCTAACATGGATGGCAAGCAACTTGTTAGACAATCATCACAGTCACAAGTGAATAAAATCTGGAATTAGTTTCAATGTGATAGTAAGCCATAGTCAGTACTTGCTAATGTTTCTGTATAGAAACAATATAGACAGAGCACTGAAGAAAAAGCACTATGAGAAAGAAAATTACAAAGGAGCTGAGAGTTGGTTCTGCCTTTTCATAAATGAAGTGTTCCAGTCATTCTACATTAACTTCTAGAAACAGAAAGTATTGCTTAAATATAAGGGGTACGTTTTGTATAATCAAGGACAAGAGACTTAGGCTTTAGGTACACACTATTTACTCTGCCGCAACTGTAGGTTACCCCGCAGATTTCTACCGCTTCCCTGCATCAGACCTAGCAATCATGCAAGGTAAATCAATTCAGGGAGGCAAAACTAAAAGAAACCTCAAATTCCGAACCCCCTGAACCCACTCCAGGAAATGTTGCTCTTAAAATCACTCAGTGAGCAGACTCCCACAGCTACACAGTTACATAAGGGACAGCACAGTTTGCAATGCAAGGGACAAGGTGAGGAAAGGCCTGGGACAGGGAGAGGATGGACATCTTTTTCCATAGCCTTGAACTCTAGTTCTTATTTACCTGTAATGAAAGAATACCCATAGTATTAGAATGAAAAAAGAATACTAAGATATTTCTAATACTTCTGAACTGCTGCATTATAAAAACATTTTAATGCTTAGTTTACTGTGTCACACCCTACACTGAGTCAGTTTATTTTGTAATGACACTTTAAAATCCTTAAATAAAATATGTGAAGCTCCTGTTATTCTGAGGGTGTATCTTCCTCCAGACCAAAATTGTTTTATAACAAATTTAGTTACTACATTAATTTTTTTTTATCATCTCTTTCCAATTTTCAATTTTATTAAAATCTGTAAATTGTAGAGCCTGTGAAAAGTGCAAACTGGGTCTATCTTGGTAGACCAGTTGAAATACAATTCTATGGTAACATAGAAGCAATGAATTGTTTGTCATACAGCCTCTACACTACTTTCAGTTGCACATTTATTTCATGAAATACTTATCTTTACACCTGCTTAATCTAATCAGTTTTTCAACAACAACAAAAAAGAAAATTAATTTTAATGAGAACATATAACTATCTTTTCCTTTTTTAAAAACTCTAGACAGAGTTGAAGGGACTCTGATCAGAGGCTGGACTGAGGGCTGGGAAGGAAAAAATAAAAACATGGTAGACAATGATAGAAGGGAGACTGTCATCAGCAAGGCAAAGGTAGAAGAGACAAAAATGATCTTACAAAGGACAAAAGTTAAACTTAAAGCTGGGGAGCGATACTGTGAATCAGTATGAAGAGATACAGAGGCACAGAAGTGATCAACTAGTGACCTAGAGCACAGGGGCTCAGCAGAGGCTAACCAAGGAAACTGGTGTTAGAAGCAGTGACAACACATGACAGTAGTCTGGCATTTCTCGACTCCCAAGTGCTAGCTTTCTTAACCTTAAATATGCTCATTTAATGCACTTTGTGTGAAATTTCTATACACAATCACAAATTTAGCAATACCAATTGGAGCCTCTTACCACCACTTCCACTGGAAATAAAGAAGCTGAAAAAGGTAGGTTAAGTACACAGCCTTCAAAACAAATTTAAAACCAGTATCTAAATGAAGAAAATGGTAGGAAGTCCAAGGGAAGAAAAAAAATCTCGCAAACCTAACCATCAAATAAGATTAGACTGAATTGTTAATTACTTCCAGTGTCAATCTCTCCTAGATGAGCAAAACGTACCAAGAAGTTTCACTGAAGCAGATGTTCAGCAGCACTTTTTATAAGGAGGCAGTAATATGCTATGGCTATCCTCAATTTTTTTCCCCATATACACACATTCCTCCCTGTACCCCTCTGTAACTTTAAATTCTTCAAAAGAAAGGGATGTTTTAGGAAGATGCCTTTGATGATGTTTATTTCATGATTTATCAAGATGCTATCAGACTCCCTTAAGTATTTTATCTTTGCACAAATCACACTAGAAAAAACAAATATTGAAAAACATTATCAAGAAGAAGAAACAAAAAATAATTAATCCCATTAAGCAAAACACAATGCTTCATATCTGTGAGTCCACAGTGTTAAGATTACTTTTAAAAGGAAAACACTTTTCTTGTTTAGGCTTCTAAATTAAGTTCCGTGAAAAGGTTCAGAACCTGAACATGGGCACCTTATTTTAAAATAACATTTATGCACTTACATAGTTTTATTTATTCAGTTCAAGCTATTTGAAGTTTTCACTGCCTGAGTATCGCATGATATGGGAATAATTGGTTACCAGAATGTAGAACTGACTACCTTTTCCTTGGTTCACTTGAAGCAGAGTGCTGTTAGCAATAATGGAGGAATTGCTATACTAATCTCAGAGACTCGTAACAAAAAAAATTACTTTTTGATGAATACATATGACTTAAATCAGAAAATATCTAACATGAAATAATGACTAGATAAATGAAAAATTAAAATGAGAACGTCTCTCACATTGCCAAAATCACTTTTTCCTCTCTCTGTCACCTAAGCATTGACCTGAAATTTTACTTCAATATGAATGCAAAGGTAGTACAAAATTAGATATACTTCAGTCTCAGGAAATACACCATTAGCAACTAGGAGTTCTAGACAAAGTATCTCTGCAAGTCCACTAAAGCAACCATATTCTGGGATCTGGCTATCATAAGTCAGAAATTACTATTATTTTTCATTAGGAAGAGATGTGCTGGTAAGACGAGTGTTCTGTCTGTCAGTCTGTCAGAAGAATTTTAAATTGTCCATTCAGTTAGTGAATGACAACAGTAAGTACAGTGATATAGAAAATTGATTGGCTCTCTTTCTCCTATATATGTACGTGAATACCTGCTGGGTACAAATCTGTTATTTTAGAGGCGCTCCTTTAAAACCAACCTTGCTATTTCTTCTCGGTGCGCAGTCCAGTCACGAATGTAGTCTTCCTGTTCCTTTATTCTGTGCTTGAATGTATTGCTACTTTGAGCTGCTGTCCCAGTGCTCTGCAGGCGAGTGGTTTTCAGGGCTGGAGAGGTACGTAGACGGGTATGTTTAGGGGAATTACGGTTTGATCCAAATTCATCTTCTGAGGTGGAAGCATAATCTGTAGGAAAGCGCCTCCATCTTGCACTTACTAAATTAGTTTAATTATTAAAAAAGAATTATTATTGCATCTTTAATAAGAAAAAACAGTATTAGTTCAGTAACATCACAAAAATACACAACTATTCATTGTCAATCCCCAGATACCTCACAAAAGGTTTATTTACTACATCTTAAAAAGAAAGCTACAAAATTTGTGTTAAATAATATTAATAAAAACATAAAACGGATGCTCTTTGTACAATGATGAGTAAAATAAGATGTAAAAGCCAGTAATGGTGTGTGAGCTCAAATAAGCAGTATTAAAAAACAAGGGCCCAATTCATTAACATTGAAGTATATAGTCAGATTGCACTTTTTCTGCAGATTTTTTCCCAAGTTTCATTCAGGGTTTACATGATACACAAAAAAAAATGAAGAGACGTGAAGGAAGGATGGAGCTGGCACCAAGTCTGGAATGCATGCTTACATAAAGGGAAGTATAAAAATCCTAGATGATGCATTATGTATTTAGTACAGAAAAAATACGTTAAAATTAATACCGTGTTATAAAAATCAGCAGCACATCTACAAAAACAGGAGCCTCAGAGCAAAAAGCATATATTCTCACATGTAGCACATAAAGCCTATACTGCCATGTTGCTGAAGACAGCCTGAAGTATGAGAGCGCTGAAACTAAGTAGGAGGCTCTCGTCCCTCTATAAATTACTGAAGTGTAGAAAATGCATTTCAGATATGCTGTCCTCAAACATTCCCAGCAGGAAGAGATATCACTAAGTGTAAAGGAATGCCCATCACAACAACATGCAAAATTCTTTCAGAGGATTTAGTCTCACAAACTCATTGACATTCATGAGGCTCTATAATTACTGTAGAAATTTTAAAAAGTGTGTGATCACCTCTTGGTAATTTAAAAATAATAGATTCATATATATTGATTTTAGTAAGAAAAATGCAAGTAGAAATAATGATTTCTCCTGAAACATTTAAAAAAACATTACAAATGAAGTATACATCAATATGAATTTGTTACAAATAATGAAAGTAATTTTTATTTGAGAAAAGATTTGTGTAATGCTCTCAAATATTACAGTATGAAGAATATGACATCGGTGTATAAGCTTACATTCCTTCCGTCACATAAATAATGCATTTTCATTGCTGAAAACAAAAATGTGCTTGTGTATTTTTTTTTTCAGGTTTAAATGTGGGCTTCAAATCATGTCCAGTTCTACTGATTTTTTTAATATCCTGACTTTATTGAAGAAAATAAAAATGTCTCTCCAGTCACTTACTGTTCCCTTTTTACAGATTCCAAACTTGTTTTGATCTTAGGGAAGTAGAACATAAGCAGAAAAAGCACATTTTCCCACCAACAGCATGCAAGCAATGCGTGACTGAAGTCCAAAGAGCTTTATGAGTTGGGCCCACATTTTATCATCAATTTTTGTTTAAATTCTTTGTCCCAGTTCAAATTATATGCATCAAAATAAATACAAAATTTATCTGAAAATCTCTTAAGTGAGCTAGTCCAGTAACTCAGCACTGTACAATGAGCATATATTTAAAAACTAAAAATTGAATGATAAGTGAAATATCAGAAACAGATTTGATTTCTAGTACTCTACCACTGTAAGTTTCAACATCGGGATCTGGGTCTGGGAGAAGCTTGGATATCTCTGTGTACGAAATAGTGTTTTATCATGTTAATTCGTATTAAAACATTCAGATTAGAAGCATTTGCTTAAATAAAATATATTGATGAGATTAGTCTTAGGTCCTCTTTTCCACTCACACATTTTAGGAAAAGATTCTTAAATTATACATTTGATCAAAAATGCTGGATTTTGTAAAAGCTTAAACATTTCAGAGATACTAACCGAAATGACATCAATTACAATCGTCCTCATAGTACCATAAAACCTCTGTACATTTTTAAAGACCATTAAATTTTAATTCAAAATATTGTCTATTTATATATTAATATGGGGAAAAAATTATTGTAGGCTTAACAGTAAAAACCTCAAAGTTGTATGATTCATGACAAGCAATATCCAAGCACAATTCCCATTAAGCTAGCTATACATTTGCACATATATGCTTTTAAGACTATTTATAAATTATGCAGCCCCAAAATGTCATTGTAGTTTATGTAGATTTCTGAAAGTTATCATGTAATTGGTTATCTCAGACCAAAGACTGTGACTATCAGTACCAATAACCAGAAAATCCTTCAAAACCCTGGCTAAAATAAACAGCAGACAAATCTCATTTGGTGACTACACTGCAAGAAGTAGAATGTGTTGACAACACCTTAAGCTGGCGAGTTTCATGATATGGACACCATAATCTCACTTTTAAGATCTGAGGACAGACTCTATTAAGCATATCCCTTATAAAATATTCTACTGTCATGGATGCATTGCCTTCTCAAACTTCATCCATTTCAAACATCCTGAAATTTGGTTCTCAGTAGTGCAATAATACTAAAGTGCAGTTAAATGTTGTTTTCTCTCCATGCTCAAATCTTGACCCCCTCTGAAATACCTCAACAGCTTTGATCAACCTATCAGCTAGTTATTTGCAAAGACAGCTAGGTCAGCAAGCCAGCAGAGCTGCCGAACGAAATTAGTTGCTCAAGGTCTCTCTGTTCTGACTCAATGCTCAATTTTACAGCTGCAGCTTAGCACTTTTGCCCGAGGTCTGATCCTGTTTTGTTTTCTCAATACATAGGTCCTTCTGTAACACCATCTTTAATTTTCCTCTGCAATTGTGAAAAAAAGTTCTTTAGTCTTCCCTATTTTTATTGATCACACTCTGCTGTTTGATGATTCTGTGCCTTGATTAAATCCTTCATTGCTTGTGCTATAAAATTACTAATTCTACTCCACGTGTCCCCACAGGGTTGTCAGTTATCAAGCCTACTACCACAGAAACACCCCAGTAATTACTTTAATGCTGGTAATTCTCATCCAAGACGTTCCATTTGTCTGCTTGCCCTTTCATTTAAAAGTAAGCAATACTTAACTGTATCAAGGATTAAAAGAGATTCTTGAAATTAGAGGCTTGCTGACAGCTCTGACAATTTTATGCTATTAAGTTGCAATTCAACCACATGAAGTACAAAACAATAAAAAAATCCAGTGACTACATCTTTTTTTGCTCCCTTTTTACAGGTATGTATGTCTGAACATTCAAAAAGATTTGGGAAATGTGGAAATAACTTTCTCTGTGGTAGACTGGATTTAAGAAGCAAGATTCTGCTGCCAATGTTTATTGATCTACAATGTCATAACACGAACTGACTCTGATGAGAAGACTCATGGAGCATTTTTCACACTTTGATAACAATCAGTCTTCCGGTAAAAGAAAAAAAATACCCAAACTCTACATTGGTAATGATCATTCATTTTCCAGTCTTTCTAGGTCCAGGGTGAGAAGAAAATACATCACTGTTATGCCTTGTTTAAATGTGCCCAAAGTAAAACACGTTCAAACAGTTGAGGCACTTTTGTCAGGCACTTTATTAGTAATTTCCAAAAGTGATAAAATTAAGTGAATTGCTGACTTTTCTAGAAACAAAATTTAATTCAGGAATTATATGCTTTGGATTGAAAAGCTTCTACTACGTTCCATCTTTATATATTGCACACAAGTAACAAAATCTATTCAAAGATGTTTGAAATACATTTATCTAAGGATAAAATAATAAATAATATTATTAATAACTTGATCTGTTGAGTAGCTATTAGCATCATTTTATAAGATGCTAATGGAAAAATGGGGATGTACTGAGTAGTGGCCTATAAATAATAGGAGATAAATATATATATACACACACTCCTATATCTACTAGAAGATTACATCACTTCTAAAACAATTCAAATTTTCCTGAAGTATACTCTGAACAGTCCAGTAAAAAAACTATGCAATAACCTTCCTGATACAGACAAAATCCAGAACTCCAAATCCTTAACAGTAGTGATAATACTCTTTACTTACACAGTAACAAGACTTGATTGATTTATTAAACCATGATTTTGTTTTGAAAGTATCTGACTGCTTTACAGCTTCCTTTCCAATTTTCGCCTTTACATTGATGCAGGCCACACCTTGATTTTGATATATAAATTAATAAAGCTTTTTATGACAGAAGCTATTTCTACTGTAGATTTTTCTAACAATCGTCTTTTTAAAATACATAGCTTATTATCTTGGAGTAGCTTATGAGAAGATGGCATCTTTTCTTTCTTGAAAACAGAGTACTTTATACAAGCCACAGTATGACTGTGTAATGCAGGTAAACGAAAGGAACATTGAAAAGATGTCCATGAGAGACTAGTAGGCTGGAAAGAGAAAGATACATCCACTCCCCTGAACAGAAGCAGCAAACTGCTTCAGTGCAACAACCTGGGAAAAGTCTAAGAAGTATGCAATAGTTCATACTGACATAAAACTCAAAATCCATATACAGTTTTGTGAAAAACACAAGAAGCAGCAAAGTGACAGGTAACATCTAGGGTTTACCTTTTCAAAAAATCAGCAATATCGTGATGTGAACTAACGTTAATTATTAAAGTAAACATACAGTAGCAGTCTTAACCGACACTCTTCCCTGACCTAATGTTGTCATCTTTCAGGCCGCGTTATCAATTTAAAACTGTGATTAAAATTGAAAACATGTCAGTTTTCCAATGATATCTTACAAGGAAAGACTGAGTTTTGAAGTTTCACCTTTTCTGTGTATCTCTGTAGACACCTATCCTAATATCAAACATTCAACTTCAGAGTTCAGTGAACACCTCATTTGTATCTCTAAAGAAATTTCTGTTCAGATAATAAATGACACAGCCGAAAGACACCCATTTGGGGAACAAACACTGCTAAGAATCCTAAGAAGGTACATTTTTGATATACAAGAAATAAAAGGGCGGTAGGACTGTGGGAAATTTAAGTATCACAGATGATTATATCAACTTTCAATGTGAAGCAGAAAAGAAGAATTATATAAGCTCAGTAGCAACACACAACACTGGAAGCTATTCTATTTATTTTTTCTTAGATTGTGGATTGGTTTCAAATAAGGTCAAGTTGGTAGTATGACAACTCAAAAAGCAAGAGGACATCAATTTTAGATACTCATTCCACATGGAAGTTGACCTATTTAGAATTACCACATTTTAATTTTGGTTGATTTAATATTGCTGTCAGAAAAAAATAGCAGCTTTTCATACAGCTTGCACTTAAAGTCTTATGTTAACTTCTATCAGAATAGTAGGTTAAAATTCATCAACTGTACATATTTTTCCTTCCATACATAAGATAATACTATAGTAAAGGAACTATCACTCAAAAGATCAACATGATTTGGAAATCATGATGAAAACAAATTGCCATGATTTGGAAGAGAGAACAGAAGCTACTTTAAGGTAAGGCAAACATTTTAATAGAAATTACTATTACCAATTAGTTGGTAATGTTTGTGTTTAATTTTTCCATTTGTTACTTCGTTGTTATTATTCCTATCAAATAAATCTCACTTTTGTAGTTCTGGAAGCTAATCTTAAACTCTAAATATAATTATCCTATAGATGCTCAGTGTATACCTCAGGGAACACTTGCTATTCAGCATATTTAGAAGCCTAACTTACAAATAAATATTTTATCTTTTATGTAGTAAAAAGTGCTGCTGACCTTCTGAACTTCTACTACCATGACTTGAGCTAAGACATCTCTGCTTTATTTTTGTATTAATGCAAATCAGTTCTACCACATCTGAATGCCTCAATGCAATTCCTTTTTAACAGTTTCAGGATAAAAAAAAATATCCAAAGAGTTAAAGGATTACAATTTCTTGTCTTTACGATTTTAAGTGAGAAACATCCACAAGCCCTGTGAAGGAAGCCTCTTACTCCAAAGAGAAAGACTGCATGAACTAAAACTCAACAAATGTTTCATAAGAACTGTTTCTCTAAAAAAAAAAATCAAAAATAATAAAAAAAAACATTTCCCCATACGAAAAACATCTAGCATTGTATAAGACTAGCTCAAATAATCTCACATACCTGAGGGAGAATTATGAGCTGAAGCCAAAGATTTGGATTTTGAATCAGAAAGTCGAGAAATGCTATTGGCTCGAGTTCTAGCCGAAACTTTACTACTCTCTCCTGCTGATGTTAACCTTGTACCACTTCTGATAATAGCTTCTGGGGTACGAGATGAAGCAGTGCTTCTAGTTATTGTTGCTTCAGAATCACTACGTGCTGATAATGAGCCAAGTCGAGTTCTGCGAGGCTGAGCAAGAAAGTCTATTCTGGAAATACTTCTCCTCCCTGATGGAGGTTTTGATGTAGAACTTGTAGTGGACACTTCGGAAGCTACTGAAGCCTTATCGGCATCAGCAAGCTCGCTATCTGAGGCTTCACCAAGCCGTGCTCTGCGCAAGAGAGAAGTCCTTGTAGGACGAGGTCTTGGAAGAGTGGTAGATTTACTAGATTGCCCAAGTGCAACAGGAGAGGTTTTTAACTTAGCTGACTTTCCTTCCATTTTGGAATGTAAAAGTTCATCTGCTGATGCAAAAGGAACTCTTCCATGTGATTTGCTAGAGTAGGTTTCCTGGTCAGATGATAAGATATCAGAAATGGCAGAGTGAGGTACGCTAGATGTTTGATCATCATCTGTCAAATCTACTGATGGTTGTCTCATTCTTCCACTGGATTGCACAGTTTTGCGAGCATCAGCTCTAGACCCACCATCCGAAGATCGACTTTTAGTTTTCTTTTCCATCTTTTCTCTGACACTTGTTGCAGAAGATTTTAAAACATCCTTTGAAGGGGAACCAGAGGAACATCTATCTTTATATAAGGTTGTAAAGCTCTTCCGCTTCTGTGTGGATTTTCTTTCAGTGTCTCCAGTAACGAGACTGATTGTGCTGGCTGTATCTACATCTGACTCTGGTGATATGGAATTATCTCTGTTATAGCTAGGAGTCTCAGGACCTTCATCAGTTTTATTTTCTTCACGCAATTTAGCTTCAAGGAAAGCCATTACAGCTTCTGTGTCTTTTAAAATTAGTGTTGTATCTAGACTGGAATCAGTGTCCATTGAATCACTTCTGTCACGTATCCTGTTTGCAGACGCTAAAGGGGCAGCAGATCCACTTTGCTTATTAATGTGAGGAATAAGTTCTATAGGTATATTTGTACTAGGCTTATCTATAGTAAAGCTTCCTTGCCTCACTAATGGTTTTGAAGATTCCTTTTTTTCTCCTCCAGATGCTTTAGGACTTTGTCCTTTAATAGTTTCCTCATTTTTTCTTCTTTTTCCCTCACTCTGCACTAACTTCATTTCTGCTTTATCTATAACATGTCCAGGAGCTTTGTCTTGATTATCCAAAGTTTTGGGTGACACAGCATTCTCTTCCCTACCTTTCTCAACCTGGTTTGCAGCAGGTTTTGTAGAGGATAATTTTGTGGGTGTCCAGTGTCCTTGCTCCTTTCTTTCTTGTTGAATTTTTGCTAAAGCTTGTTTCACCATGGAAGTTTCTCTGCTAGTTTCAATTTTCTCTTTACTGGAAGAGCTGGGGAAAGAAAAAACCTTGTCTCCAGTAGCTTTGGGCGAAAGACCATTCATTGTTCTGCTTGACTTTGCTATACTTCTGCTGTCAGCATCTGAGGCACGAGCTGGAGTTTCTTTCTCCTGAAGTTCAGTGTCTTGCTTTTCACCTATTTCTGATCTCTGATGAGATGTAGTTTTTGCTTTTGAGCTTTCATTCACTTTCTCCTCTTTAGGAAGCTGTGGAAGAGTCCTCCTCTTTCTCTCACCTTGGCTGGTCATAGAAGCAGCTGAACCAGCACTTCTAATGGAAATACCAGATTCACTTATGTCTGTGTCTAAAAATGAAAAAGAAAAAAAAATATCTGAGAAGTCATTCAATAGCAAGGTAAATAGAAAATTAAATTCTTAAAACGGCATGAGACTAATAAAACTAATTAAAAAGTCATTAGTCCATTCCTCTGTTCTATGGCGGGATCAATTATACTTAGACAAATATATGTTTAAATACATTTAATGAGTTCTTAAAAATCTCAGTTGATGGAGATCTGACTATAAGCTATTTGGGTAGACATCTCTTAAAATAATTTTCTTTTTCTCTAACATAAGATGGGCTTCCTCCAAATTAGCCCATTACTGCTTGTCCTAT